CGGGAGGCCCGGGGCAGAGCAGCTGAGGTGCTGGGTTGGTCCCGTACCACCGCCCCCCCACCCCAGACCCCTCATAGCCCCCCCTTTCTATAGTCCGGTATATCTGATAATCCAGCACCCTCTGGGTCCTAAAGATGCTGGATTATTGGAAATTTACTGTAGATTGCTAGCACTTAAAATTAATAATGCCATAGAGCAGTTTTTAAACTAAGGGCTGGGGAAAGCCAACAGGTGCAGAGGAGCAGGTGGATTGGACATCCTTTAGGGGAGAATCTAATAAAAAGAGAATCTTTATGTCCACTAAAGAGGAGAGGATAGAAGATAAAATATGGATAAAATCAGATGAGAAACAGTCAAATGAAAGAGAGTCCCATTTAATCAAATCAGATAATGGCAGACAACTAAATAGTGAAAAGTTTTTAAAGTGCTTATATACAAATGCTAGAAGTCTGAATAGTAAGAGGAGTGAAGTAGAGTGCCTCATATTGAATGTGGATATTGAAAAGATATTTAATTAGGCTATTGATATATATACAAAATATATCAGAAGAATAGAACAGGTAATGTTGGTAAGGGAGTGGGACTTATGTAAAAGAAAGCATAGAATCAAATGAAGTAAAAATCTTAAATGAATCAAACTGTTCCATAGAATTTGTATGGATACTAATTCCATGCTCTACTAATATGAATATAGAAGTAGAGATATATTGCTAACCATCTGACCAAGATAGTGATAGAGATTGTGAAATGTTAAGGGAGATTACAGAGGCTATAAAAATTAAAAACCCAATAATGGGGATTTCAGCTATCCCCAAATTGACTTGGTACATGTCCCCTCAGGACAGGATGCAGAGATAACATTTCGTGAAACCTTAAATGATTGCTTCTTTGAACAGCTGATTCTGGAACCCACAAGAAGAGAAGCAGTTCTTGATTTAGTCCTAAGTGGAGTGCAATATCTGATCCAAGAGGTGATTGTAGCTAGACCACTTGGAAATAGTGACCATAATATAATTGAATTTAACACCCCTATGGTGGGTAAAACACTACAGCAGCCCAACACTGTGGCATATTATTTCAGAAATGGGAACGCCAAAAAATGAGGAAGTTAAACAGAAACGAAAAGGTAGAATGCCAAAAGTAAAATCCCTGTAAGCTGCATGGAAACTTTTCAAAGGCACCAAAAAAAGTGCCACTGTGACTTAACCAAGTAAAAGAAGCATTGTTAAAAAGTAGAAGTTAAATCCTAATGAGTGGAATAGAAAAGAGCATAAACTCTGTCAAATGAAATGTAAAATATAATTAGGGAGGCCGATAATGGAATTTGAAGAACTGCTAGCCAAAAACTCAAAGTAATAGCAAAATGTTTTTAAGTCTATCAGAAGCAGGAAGTTTGCTAAACAATCAGTGGGGCCACTGAATAGTTGAGATAAAGGAAAACTCAAAGATGGTAAGGTCATTGCAGAGAAACTAAATGAATTCTTTGCTTCGATCTGCATGGCTGAGGATGTTACAGAGATTCCCACACCTGAGCCATTCTTTGTAGGTGACAAATCTGAGGAATAGTCCCAGATTGAGGTATCATTAGAGGAGGTTCTGGAACAAATTGATCAACTAAGCAATAACAAGTCACCAGGACCTGATGGCATTCACTCAAGAGTTCTGAAAGAACTCAAATGTGTAATTGCTGAGCTAATAATTATTGTTTGTAACCTATCCTTTAAATCAGTTTTTGTACGAAGTGACTGAAAGGTGGCTAATGTTACATCAATTTTCAAAAAGGGTTGTACGGGTGATCCTGGCAAATATAGGCTGGTAAGTCTAAATTCAGAACTGGTTGAATTCAAATTGGTTGAAACTATAATAAAGAAAAGACTTGTCAGACACATAAATGAACATTATTTGTTGGGGAAAAGTCAACATGGTTTCTGTAAAGGGAAATCATAGCTTGCTAATCTACTAGAAATAATTCTTTGAAGAGGTCAACAAGCATGTGGAGAAGGGGGTCCAATGCATATAGTGTATTTAGATTTCCAGAAAGCCTTTGACAAGGTCCCTTACTAAAGGCTCTTAAGTAAAATAAGCTGTCATGGAATGAGAGGGAAGGTCCTTTCATGGATCAATAACTGGTTAAAAGACAGGAAACAAAGAGTAGGAATAAATGGTCAGTTTTCCGAATGGAGAGAGGCAACTAGTAGTGT